GGTTCTTGCTGCATAGACAATGTCTTCGCTCCGGACGAAATTCGAGCTTTCTGGGGCTACCGAGGATTACGAACATGCGCTCGCCATAGGCCGGCACGCGTTAGAGGAAGATTGCATTCGGGGAAACGACAGGGCCGATATTTTGGGAACGATCGCCATCATGCTCCGTCTCCGAGCATCCATGGTCGAGTCTTCAGACTCCGGACGCATGCTTGATGAATCTGTCCAGCTCAGCCGGGAATCCTTTCGATGCGCACTTCCCCACGGCAATCCTCGCCGCTATGCGAGCAATAGGCTGATATACGCTTTGCGCGGAAGGTTTGTGCGAAACGGCGACCCGCGCGATCTTGAAGAGGCGATTGTAATAGGGCATCAGGTCATGGCAATGATTCCACGGGAAGATATCGAACGACACGCAACGGCCGGTATGGTGGCAAATTCGCTCCTGGACCGTCTCATGGAGGCAAACGATGTAGAAGATCTCAACACGGCACTTTCCCTCGTTCACGACGCTATGACGGCTCTGTCCCCCTCATACATACACAGCGACGAATTCGCAGGGGGGGAAGGGGGGTGGCTCGGAATGCGGAACCGGTTTTTTTTTTGTTTTGCGGGTGAGCGACGCCGTATCCTTTCCTGCTACGCACGCCCGTCGATACTGCTTGCATAGCCCCCGTGGTCGAGCGCTGCACAAGCACCTCGTCTCCCCGGCAACTTGGGTCCCTCGCGCTCGTATCGCATATACTCTGTCGCTGTCGTATGACCCCCCACGCTCCTTGAGAATCAACGGCGTTTGCGTAATGCTGTCCACGGAAGGCCAGTGGCATCGATTGCTTCTAGGGGTTTCTCGCGCCGCTAGGAGCGGCTGACCTCCGGGCACGATATACTGCGAGACGCATTCCGCAAGTCTGTGCCCGAAAACAAAACAAAACAAAAAAACGATGCGATGATACGAGGACGTCTAACATATATCAAGCTGATTCCCGAAGTGTTCGAGGAATCGTAGCCTTCGAGACGAATGAGACGTCAGCGTGAGTTATCTCCGGTATAGGTATGTCGACTATAAATCGTTCTCGTCGCATCATGACGTTTTTTTTACCCGTTGTGTCAGGCACTGTACAAAAGCGAGCACATCGCCATGCGCGCAAGGATTTTTGGCAGCCGAGCCTGTCTATGACCACGAATCCAGTCATCCTGCTAGCTCGTGTCTGTGAGTATTGTGGTATCATTGCAGGCCTCGTCCACGCCATTAACACTCGGTCCGTCCTCGCTACCAGTTCGGCCTTACTGCCTTCCGCACTTTTGTTTTTGGCTTTTTGGCTATACGCGATGAACGACCTTACCCGGCATCTATCTCAGCGCCGGTGGTCCGCGTGGATCGTGCGATCGTGCGGATGGCTGTCTATCCGTATCCATCGTCGTCTATATAGAGCTTGCAAGTACTCTGTCCACGCGCCGGTGCGCTCGCATGGTTCTCCTCAAGGAGCGGAACTCAACGCAGGCTACAGCGGTGTCGGACGCGACGTTCGCCTATGCGTTTACCAACGTCGTGCCGTTGTTTGGTGCTCGAGACGTTTGGTCTTCGGTGAGGCGTGCACGCACAGGAGCTCGGATCGCATATCTGAAGTCGATGCACAGGCGCGACCACGGCAATCCGCACTTCTATGGGGTTGCTGGGACGTTGTGAGCACATCTCCATGTTCTCCGACGTTCTTTCCTTGCTTTATTCCAGATTTCTGAGTCCCACACGGACTTCAACCAAGCAGGTGGCAGTTTTGCGCAGGACCCTTACGGCGCTCTCGAGATTCTTCACTGGACGCTGTCCCTGCGACATACCTTCGACCTCATCTCAGGCAAGTGAGCCCAGCGAACTCTTATTGTGTGTGATGCATCAGTTCAGTGACCGATGTCAGGGCCACCGGACTACACATGTTATCTCTGCGAAGTACGAACGCCACGGGTCAGATCAAACAGGACGATTCGTTCGTGGACGTCACCGTGCAATCGATGACCGTGACTGGCTTGCAGGCGTTCGTGCCGGAGACAGTTTTCTTCGGTGAACACATATCCATCCAGACGCTGAGTATCATTGACCGAACTCAAGGACATATCAGATCACTCACTGCCACATTGTGACATTGAGCGTCGCAGGTATGAACATGGGACAACGACATGGAGAAAACCATTCACTGCCAATCTGTGCCACTGAGCGTTTCCAAGCTCTCTGCCGGCACTCGGCCTGAGCCCATACGTCCCGGTAGCGTCCCACGACCATACACTCTGGTGGACTTCTCCGACGAAATCACGCCGCCGTTGCCTCGTGTAGATCGTTGCGATAAGCACGGCGCATGTGTACGCGTTGCGCGCAACTGCCACCCATATCTATATGCATATCGCCAGGTATGAGTGACAACGCTCGTATGTCTCTCCCAAGCTTAGGGCTTACTAACGCAACGCAGGCTGTTGCGGCGTCGAATGCGATATTCAAGGGTACGTTTACGCAGGTCGTCCCGCCTTGGATTAGTTGCGAGAGCAGGGTTGTGAAATTCCATTTATTGTAAGGAATTATACTCACGAGCTTCTGTTGGCTCGCGCGACATTTCACGTCGAAGGTTTCAGCGAGCTGGATGATAGGCCCACACGGTCTTCTCCAATTTGCACTTCGACGCAGTAACAGGCGCAGTCAAAGGCCTGGAGGCTCGCTGAACGGGCCGCGCTGGTGCGACTCGCTTCCTCAAGGAGAAAAATGCTCAGGGAAGCTGAAATAACACATCCTGAAAATCGTAAGCTTCGATAAACTCGCCGCAATGGAGATTTATATTTCGTGTATATTCCTTCGACGCATGTTCATCCGTAGAGTAAGTACATAAGTATTGCAAAGAGATCGTGCTGTCCATTCGATACTGTAGCGTCGTGGGAACGTCATTAACTTGACTAAACCCGCGCCTGGCTGTACATGCAGTTTCTGATTGGCCAAACCGAATTTCACAGGCCATTATGTAGCGAATTACGTCCTGAAAGTGACGGCGAGCTCGAGGCCAGCGAGGATATCTTCCTCGGCCCGCACCTTCTTCACAGCTGGCACCGTCGACGATGCCCCCCTCGCCCAAAACGCCCTCCGCGGCCGAGCTGCTCGACGCCGACGACGGCGCCGGCGCGAAACACAAAAGGGAGCAGCAGCAAGTTGTCTGGGGCAAGACCCCTGGCGGCGAAGGTGAGCTATCATCGCTGGCATCAATCCGCCGATCCCTCTCTCTTTCTCTGAGAGCTTTGCACTGATCCGCTCGTTTGTACCAAAGTGTTTCGCGTCCCAACGACGCACGACGTGCTCACGCTCTTCCACCCGGCGTACCCGAAGTCGCACCTAGACCTGCTCAACCTCTTCCTGCTCGGGTCGCAGATCGCGCTCTTCTTCTGGCTGCCGACCTCCGTGCGCAAGCCGTTCTTCCTCGTATACTTTGCGTTCTGGCGCGCTGCGTATGACGCCGGACTCGGATGGGTGCTCACCAAGCAGAGCAAGCGCAAGTGGATCGTGAAGGAGGTGCAAAGGAGGGGATGGCTGGACGAGAAGCGTCGCCCTGAGGTCAGGGCGTGGATCCGCAAGCAGCTACAGGGCAAGATGGGCGGGGACTACTCCTTCGATGTAAGTCGCGTGCCCTGATCATTGCGATTCTTCTGGCAGATCTCGATGTGGCGCTGGCGTCACGCTTCGACGCATATATGCGCACACGCTGCGCATACAGTCATAGATCACCTGCTCGGCGACTTTCTTCTCACCTCCCGAGGGCTAATATTGGGTGCTAATCTGTGTTTCTTATCTTATCAGGAACTTCCTCTCGAGTACAACACATGGCTCTTGTTCCGCCAAATGGTAGACATTATCCTCCTCAAGTACGGTCTTTCCTCATCCCTGGTACCAAGGCTCATCTTGTCCTTCAGTGACTTCGTTGCCTACTGCATGTTCGCCTTCGCCTGCTTCCGCGTTCCGAACGGTCTCTCGATCGGGGTGCACATCATGAGGTGAGCGTTCAAACTATATCGACATCAATGCAATGGGATCGCATGCCCCAATGCACTGTGCGCGTATCAACAAGCTCGCTGCACGCGGTGCTGGTGCCTGTGACGCCCAACACGCTGAAAGGATGTTGCGAGAGCAGATCCGAGACGCGCTAGAGGACAACGTGGTGCGACAAACAACCCCGTCGGCATGAACTATGCCCGTATGCCCGTCAGCCTCAGGCGGACGATCCTCACTCACCATTCCCCAATATATGCGTGCTTATGGGGGTACTCGCAGATGGATCGGCGGCTTCGCGCTGATCGCGTTCAACCTGTGGGTCAAAACCGAAGCGCATCACGTCGTCAAGGACTATGGCTGGTACTGGGGTGACGTGTTCTTCCAGCGTGGTGGCTTGACATTCGACGGCGTGTTCGAGCTCGCCCCGCACCCGATGTATTCCGTCGGCAAGCCCTTTCTAATCCTTCCTCATCGACGCGTGCGAAGCTCACGTCTATCTTGAACAGGCTATGCGGGATATTACGGCCTCTCCCTCATCGTCGGGAGCTACCCCGTGCTTTTCGTCAGTCTGCTCGCTCACGCCGCCCAGTTCGGCTTCCTCGTCTTCTTCGAGAATCCTCGTACGTGTGCTTGTGGCTGTCCAGTGCACTCCGGCTAATGCCATACGTTATAAGACATCGAGCGCACGTACGGTCAGAAAAAGCCGATTGCACAGCGCATCCCGCTCGTCACTGTTTCCTCCCGGCGCAGCGACAGCGTTTCCGAGTCGTCGCGCGCGTCTCCGATTGCCGTCAGCGCTCAATCGTCGCGCGGGCTCTCGGACGCCACTACACCCTCCCAGACTGAAGGCGAAACCGCGACAGAGACGGAGCTCGAGACTGAGACGGAGACGGAGTATGAGGATCAGCACGTCGCCATTCGCAGGGTACCGCAACAGCACAGGGTCGTTGCGTCCAGCAGACCTCGGTCCCCGCCGCTGTCGCAACACGACCTGCTCAACCGGTACTTCCGGAAGGACACGATATTCTTGCATAACTTCGACCTCCTGCGGTGGGTCCTTCCGATGACACTCGGATTCGGGACGTGTGACTGACGAGAAGCGGCTCTACAGAGCATCGGACTTCAAGCTCCTGTTGATCATCGCTTACGCGTTGGGCTCTGTCCTAACCTCTCCACTCACAGGAAAGAGCGTCTTGGTGCTGAATGCCGTCTATGCCCTCATCTGGACGCTCTTCCACTCGTTTGGTCTCGGCCTTCTGCTTCGCGCCCAGTCGCAAAGCAAATTCCTCGTGCGGCATTACCTTAAGCATTACCACTACCCTTCTGGGGACGGCGGGCTCGGCGCTATCCAGGAAGCGTTTACCAACTGGAAATCGATCTACAACCTGAGCTGCTGCATGACGTACGGTACGTGCTCTCGCGTCGGTAGATGGGTAGATGAAAGTTGATGAGAACTATGGATAGTGTCGTTTGCTGGCCTTGCGTGGAGGACGTACGCTATTCCAGTCGACTGGACTGTCGGCGATGAGCTGCTCAGGCATACTATGGGTGCCGTACGTCCACCATGGATCCCCTTACAAATGTTAGCTGACGAAGCTGTTCAGCTCCTGATTGGACTCAACATTTGGGCCCTCCGAGAATCTTACGAAGTGCTTGGCGTATTCGGTGAGTGCATTGCTCGCATATAGGAGTGCCGGCCATTCTCACCAACCAAAACCGCTTATAGGATGGTTCTTCGGCGATTTCTTCATCGAGGACTTCCCTTCCCAGCTCGAATACACGGGCATTTACCGGTAAGGGTGTCCTCAATCGTTCGCTCATCGTGGGCTTACTAATTGCATGAGACAGCTACCTCAACAACCCTGAAATCCTGAGCGGCGCAGCTTTTTACGGGCTGGCTTTGATCAGTGGCAGCAAAGTTGTCTTCGCTCTGGCCGTCGTTCGCACGCTATCGCATTGGTGGTTCCTCCGTTGTGTCGAAAAGTACGAGTTTTAGCCAGGTTGACCTGCCTGTTCCCTCCGATTATTGACGATGACGCACACAGCCCGCACATGCGCAAGCTCTACGGCGATAGCCTAAGGCCCGAGGCTGGATTCGCCAAGGTTATCCGGAACGTTGCGTCGCGGAACGCTGCACGTTTGCTCGACTCCAGGGCTGGCAAGCATGGCCCTGAGATTCGCCGTGTGGCTAAGGAGGTCAAGGGGACGTTCGACAAGGTTTACGAGGAAACTGCCGAGGTGCTTGAGGAGTTCCTTGCCAAGTGTTCGTGCCCAGTCGTTACATCGTCACTTACGATGGCTTATCTTCACACGCACAGCGAGGCCCAGGATCTCGGAGGTAATGCAGGATACGAAAATCTTGCTACAGCAATCGAGAGAGCGGCTGGTCATCACGTACATATCCTGCTTTCCTTTCGAGTTCACCTACTAAGCAAAACGTCTCCAGACGTGTTTCTCGGGATCTGGCTGCGCACGATCGCAACAAGTACAAGGTATCCATCGTGCCGTCGAGCCCCGACAATCGTCTGCGCTTCCATCTGGGGGAACCGATCAAGGTCAAATGGGAAGCTCCTGTTACACATTCTCGCCGAGACTGGATAGGCATCTATCGCGTATGTTTCCAGACTTCTGCTGCCCAAGCCCGTTAGCCTGATATTTGCGGAAGGTGGGAGCCAACCAATCGAAACTCGTCACGAAAACGTCGTCTCTCGGGATGTGGGTTCCTGTGCACGACGAGGAATGGGACGGGGACGTGTTTATTGGCCCCCACCGGCGCTCAGGATCCACATCGCCTAATAAGGAGACGGAGAAAGGTTACGTCGTCTTCAAGGGAGGGGCGCTGCCGTGGCAGGTCGGACAATACGAGGTAGGATGGGCTCCTTTGCCGCGTAGTCACATTGGTCACACTGTATCAGATGCGATACCACCACGACGGCAAATACAATGTCATGAGCATAGACGGTCCATTCGAAGTATATGGTGCGCCGCTTCTTACTGTCATTTTGGATACTTTAACCTGATTCCGTTGCTATAGTCGACGCACCAAAGGTCCTCGACTTTCAGAACGTCCGGAGCTGCCTCATGCGCATCGTGACACTCTGCTTGGACTCGGACCCGTCCCTGATACCACTCTCTTGCAAGACTGGAGAAAGTCGACAAGAAGACACCGCCGACTCCGATCAAGAGGTGCGGGATCAGGACGACTTCCGCTTTTGGTCTGAACGGCAGGCGAAACGGATTTCCTCGGCGATCAAGCAGGCGTTTGATGTCGAGTACGCGCCCGAGGTCATCGTCGCCGATGCGAACGTATCTTCGTTGGCAAACCGTATATTGGTCTCCAAAGAGATTCTGTCCCCGCAGTAATGTTATTGCGCAGTTTCTCTAGCTCTCCGATGTTGCTCGCAACGTATAACCGTATACCTTTGACGATGCTAATGATTCAAACATGACATGGTCCGTGTAAATTTGCTAAGCAACAGCAGGCGGATGTCGCAATTTACTTGCACTTTACCCTCCATTACCAGTCACCTCGACCGAGCTGCGCAGATGATTGTGGTTCAATTTTCTCCGATGTTCCATGCATATTTACGGTCGCCTTGATGCATGACACTCAATCATTTGCGCAGTGTCGTACAGTACACAATCATGATATTGTAATCCCTTCTCGTCTTCAGTTCTTGCCGATATGCTTCTGACTGTCGAGGCAGTACGAGGAGGTCGCGATACTGAAGGGAGATGGCCTTGGAGCTCTTCGGAGGGTAAACGTTCGTACCCTTCAGAGCGAGATGGCATAGGCCATTAGGACGGGTAATCGTGGGGAGGGACATCACCGGCAGTTCAAAGGTTCCTGGTCAGACGGCAGAACAGCTTTAGTCTTTCCATTGATATACGAGTGCGGATCCTGATGACGCGTTGCGCTGCCCAGAACAGCCAGTCGGCGTCGTCTCTGTCATCCTTGACGAGCAACAAGGGTGGAAAGCATAAGCATAGGGCACGGACGAAACATCAAAACTGTTGAAGAAGGTGAAGTAACTTAAGGGAGGTAGCATCTGACACTAACATTGCAGTTCAAGGCTCATCGTTTTCCATTCCCGATTCATCAAGGAACCGGATGGCTCGCTATTCATGTTCCTCGAAGTCTCTCGATATGTTCCTCGTCGACGGGCTTTGCGTGCTCATTACCGGGGCGCTTGCACTTTTCTCTTGATATCTTCTATTCCACTCACCGTGTTGTTGTATCTGAAACTCGAATATATTGAGTTTCAAGGTTAGATCTCCAAATGGTGATTTCCGTCGGTATAACATAGTTGCGGATGATCAACATATACGAAAGCTTATTGCGAGAGTTGGATGCTTGGGCACACCAGCATCTTTGTAGAGGCGTCGCATCAGGAGCTCAGGTTATCCCCGTTTGGAAATTCTTAGAAGTCTGAGACGGACCCGGCCTCTTTCTCTCTGTCCTGCTGAATGTGCGCGGATGCAGATTTTGAACACGAAGTGGCTTCTCAAGGTTGCTGCGACACTCTTCTTGTCGTCATCCTAGATAGTGTAAGCAACGACATGTGTGCAGATCTAGCCTTGCAATGACTTCGAGGTATAGCAGAAGAGAAGCTGCGAACCCTAGCTCTCTACAAAGTTCGCGCATGATGAACACCTCATTATTCATCAGAAGCATGCTAGTACAGTTCCGTCCTATATTCTCTTACGTCTACATTTTAATCCTTGGCCACCTTGATGACAACCTTGCCGACGTGCTGCTGGCTCTTGAGGTACTCATAAGCCTCTCTCGCGTGCTCGAAGTCGAACACCTTGTTGATGACCGGGTGGAGGTCGTTCGCCTCGACGAGACGCACGAATTGCTGGAACTGTTCCACGCTGCCGATGAGGATGCCGCGGAGCATGAATGCCTTAGTGATGACATTGATAGGGAGAGAGGAGACGTCGCCGGAACTGGTAACGAACCTGCTCGACGATGTATCAGCGTGCAACCCCAGGGGAGGCGGAGATACAAAGTGCAGCGTACCCAATGAGTGAGACGACCCCACCCATCTTGACCGCCTTGACGGACTTGGGGAGAGTGCCGACACCGCCGACCTCGACCACGTAGTCGACGCCTTCGCCGTTCGTGATCCTCAACACCTCGTCTTCCCAGTTCGGTACCTGAGTAGAAAGGATCATCCGTCAGCAATATGCAAGAGCGACAACTGTCAGCGACATCACCTTCTTGTAGTTAATAACGTGCGTCGCGCCGAGCTGCTTCGCTTGCTCGAGCTTGTCGTCCGATGAGCTGGTGGCGATGACCATCGCGCCGGAGGCGCGCGCGATCTGCAGCGCGAAGATAGACACGCCGCCGGTGCCGAGCACGAGGACAGAGTCGCCGGCGCGGACGGGGGCCAGACCGGTAAGGGCGTTGTAGGCGGTGAGACCGGCGCAGGGGAGGCAGGAGGCCTCCTCGTACGTGAGATTGGGCGGAACGCGGACGAGCGCGTAGTACGGGAAGACGCGGTACTCTGTCAACACGCCGTCGATGGGCGCGCCGAGGCTGGCGTTCTTGGCTTCGGGGGTGGGCGCGATGCCGTAGATGTGTCCGATGGAAAAGCTGCCAAACACAATGAGCCATCTTCGCTACCAATGGGCGAGAAGATGGTGATGGAGCTTACTTGGACATGACGCGGTCGCCGGTCTTCCAGCCGGTGACGCTGTCTCCGACGGCGATGATCTCGCCAGCGCAGTCGGAGGCGGGCACAACGTTCTGTACAAATTCCATAGGGTACGTGCCATCCGACACGACGAGATCGCGGTATTGGAGAGAAACGGCCTTGATCTTAACGAGAACCTCGTGCGACTTGGGAGGGGCGACGCTGGCCTGCTGCAGCACTAGACTGGACGGCCCGTTGTTCGATGGAAGACGGTATTCGCGGGTAACAGTGGGCAAAGACATCGCTAGCTTAGAGGATTGCTTGAGCTGTGGTACGGTGGATTGTTTGGATGGTTCATGGAGGGTGGAATCCGCCTGGTTATATAGTACTGCGAGTCCTGGTGAACATCTCTATGAAACAAGACGTCAGAACAGCTGAGTTTTGTGGTATTCGTCATCCGTCGCGAGCACTGCAGAGATGAGAAAGATGAGCGCAGGTCGTTTACTGGCGGAGGGACTACAACTTGCGAAGTGGGCAAGCCGTGCCACGGCCGAGCTTCGGGATGCGCTTTACCCATTGCCCGCGGCATTCTCCTTCTGCATGTATTCTCGGCACGACGCGGCGTCTCCTCTTGACAATCCTCCTCCACCCTTTCATACGATGAATCAGCTTGCAGCGCTGCTTATATCTCATGAAGTCATCATCTTTTCAAGCTCAATACCATAGCTGCAACCGAGCTTCGCCGCTTACTCTTAGTAACTCTTGATAATACTCTTGTAGCTGAAGCTGCTCTCAAGGACCCTTCTCGTTGACCATTCGCTTTGCAAATTGTGTGCGCTGGCTCCCGCATTCTCCTACGAGAGCATCTGTTGTATGGTCTCGCAGCAGGAGGGTTATCTCCGTATGGAAAAGAAATGACATGTACCAGTCTGTCGACGTTTATACTTGTCGACGTCACGACTTCACGGGTGAGTATGAACTCAACGGTATCGAAGCCAGTCAGACTGATGTATGAAAAACCTTGGACGTTTTGTGATACCTCCTCAAAACAGTTGAGCATTGTAGAATGCGTTCGTTCTATGAGCCCGTCGTCCACGATGCAGACTGCTTTGTGTCGCCACATGAGGGATATCGGTGTTAGATCTCTCTAGGAATGAACATCCTACCTTCACGAAATCAGCATTTCTTGTTGGATCCGCTTACTGTCAACAGATCAGCATAGAAACTCCGAGAAGAAGTAGATGCGCTCCTGTGGGGCACACACGCCTCCTTCATGATGAACGCCGTCTCCGCAGCTGGCGCGCTTCCGGAGAGGTGCGGGGCATGCGCATCTCTACCATTCGTCATCTTCTCATCGGCATCCGTGTGGGGTCGGAGACTCTGCACAGCGGTTCGAATCGACCAGCTGCTCTCCATCTTCGTTCAATGACCATCCAAGCTTCGCAGTTCTACATCCGCAAACTCTCCCCTCGATATGCGAACGAGCTGTGGCAACTGACAACGGTTACGTCGTGACCGCGGGTCGGGCCATCGTGCCTTCAGAGCCGCGTGTTTTCCACATCCTCTCGTCCACCTCGACATCAGAGACGTTCTGTTCCAATAATTATTGGAAAACCCAATACTTCCCACCCGCAAACTCCCTAGCTCATGGCCCGGATCTCGATACCGGATCTCAATAATTATTGGGAAACAGAACGTCTGTATTGTGCACAAGTGCATCATGAAATGGACGATTCTCACGTACGATATTATATATCCCACCAACAACCCGCCGGTCGTCTCTCAAAACGCGTTCAAGCTCCACATGACTCCTGTATCCTTACGGAGAAGAATGGCAATCGGCCACATCCCGTTGAACTTGATGCGATTTTCGTAATGATACAGTGGTTTTGATAATGCTACAATCTTCTCTTCATTCCCCACCCTTTTTTTCTCCCTTTTTGCTCAGCACAGCGATCTCAATCCTTGGCGACCTTGATGACGACCTTGCCGACGTGTTTCTGGCTCTCGAGGTACTCGTACGCCTCCTTCGCCTGCTCAAACGCGAACACCTTGTCCACCGCCGGGTGGAGGTCGTTCGCCTCGACGAGGCGCGCGAACTGCTGGAACTGCTCGACGCTGCCGATGAGGATGCCGCGGACGTTGATCGCCTTCTGGATGAGGTCGAGCGGGAGCGAGGAGAGGTCTCCGCCCGCGCCGGCGACGAAGCTGTGTTGAAAGAGGCGGGTCAGTCATCCGCGTCTTCACAAACAGATACGTGCGGGGTAAGTACCCGATGACGGAGACCGTGCCGCCCATCTTCACCGACTTGAGGGATTTGGGAAGGGTGCCAGCACCGCCGACCTCGACGACGTGGTCGACGCCCTCGCCGTTGGTGAGCTTCAACACCTCTTCCTCCCAGTCAGGTATCTGACGGCGCCTGCAGTCAGAAACCCGCGCATATATACGCCGGGGACGCGCACCTTCTTGTAGTTGATCACGTGCGTCGCGCCGAGCTGCTTCGCCTTGACGAGTTTATCGTCCGACGAGCTGGTGGCGATCACCGTCGCGCCCGCGGCGCGCGCGATCTGGAGGCCGAAGACGGACACGCCGCCGGTGCCCTGCACGAGGACGGAGTCGCCGGCGCGGAGCGGCGAGGGCCCGAAGAGCGCGTTGTAGGCGGTGAGCCCGGCGCAGGGGAGGCAGGACGCTTCCTCGTACGAGAGGTTGGGCGGGACGCGGATGAGGGAGTAGGCGGGGAAGACGCGGTACTCGGTCAGGACGCCGTCGATGGGGGCGCCGAGGCCCGTCGCTTTGGATTCGGGCGTCGGGGCGAGGCCGAAGAGGTGGTCGATGGAGAAGCTTTGCGTCCGCGTCAACGCGTGCGCATCGGAGCGAGAAAGAACAGGGAAGAGACGTACTTCGGCATGACGCGGTCGCCCTTCTTCCACGCGGTGACGCTGTCGCCGACGGCGATGATCTCGCCCGCGCAGTCGGACCCGGGCACGACGTTCTCCTTCACGCCGAGCGGGTACTGGCCCTTCGAGACGATGAGGTCGCGGTATTGCAGCGAGACGGCCTTGATCTTGACGAGGACCTCGTGAGACTTCGGAGGCGCGACGTTCGCCTCCTTCAGGACGAGACTCGAGGGGCCCTTGTACTCGGGCAGGCGGTACTCGCGCGTGGTGGTCGGCAGAGACATCGTTCGCTAGACGAGATCCTGGGGGAGATGTGGGTACAAGTCGAGGATTCCATGGCGACTTGAGACGCTATATGGATCAGCTTGTCGCTGGAAGCCGGTGACGATGAGTAAGAGACAGTCGACATATGTCATCATCATCTTGGTCATCGAGGCGGGTGAGAGCATAGCAGAAGCTCGAGAGGCCGGGTGATCATCGTACCGATTAAGGCGGAGGTCAAGGGAAAAGAAACAGGATATTGTCCTCGTGGACGCCACGTGGGTGCGCTTTGCAGTCGGCGTCAATCTCCTCGTATTTCTCCTCTCGACGCTCGACGAAGTTTGGCTCCTTCGTATTCGACGGTATCTAACGCGACCGGGCTCTTCTAAAGGTCTTGTTGACCTTCGACCGACGTACGTCTTGAATACTAGGATCGCGCTGCTCTGCTAAAACATTTTCAACGCTTCAATGGCACTCATTCCAATGTGCCGTTGACTATCGAGGTAATTTTTCATCTTCGTTGTCTGCTTTGACCAGAAAACTGGGCCAATGCCTCAGGGAGCTCGTTCACCTCGGTCAGGCTGAACTGTTCGATCTGGCGTAGAAAAATCTACGGATCCTCACGTTCGGCACGAATCTGCGCATGGTCCTGGAGCGATCGCCACGGACGACACCAACAGATCATCATCATGTGCTGCTCAACATCGATAAAGCGTCCATTGCTCTTGCCGGGCATCCAAGTCGTTAAGCCGATACGCCCTTGCTATGAAGGAGCCGGGCGTCCCTTTACTATATAATGCCGAATCAGTGGCTTTGTTAGAGCCTATGCAATGCGTGGATAGTGAACGTGAACTCACTTTGACCGCCACCAAAAAAGGGAGGCTTGACGCGAGTCTGCGTCTGGCTCGTTTGAAGGATCGTTTGAGAATTTCAGGTTTATCTTCAGCGCATTCAGCTCGAGGCTCGCGCGACCGACAGCGCAAATGTCAATGCCGCGTCCCGGATGGCGGAGAGCCATGAGTTGTCAACACGCCGATGCACGACGTCGTCGATGACTTGCGATGAGTAAGACGCCGAAACACGATTCCCATCGTCTTTGTCATCGCCGCATCCCTCAAAGGCTTGAGTATAAGAAGGATGCAGGAGGGATGGGGAAACGATCGGATAAACATCACTAGAACGCGACGAAAGGCCGCGAACTTGAGATCCGAAGTTCATCACATCCTTCTTGACCTCGTTTCGTGTGTATCCTTCACGCCACTTGTTGCACGATATCATGGCACCGATCGGCAAGCTCTATGGTCCTGGGACGTCTCCGGTAGTGAAGCCCGTACGTACTGTCTCGGATGTCTCCGGTCGTTGTAGGAGCTCTGGCTTACACAAAATCCTTGAACGCGGCATATTATGTAATAAATGGAAGCATGGCATCCCCAAGTTCGATGTATCAAACTGTAGCGCAAGACTGAAGCGCATCAGGAATCGACGTTTAAATCACGAGTAACCACCCTCCAACTGCGTGTCGATATCCAGCGACATGGTTGCACGAGCAGGCGATGACATTGATCTGAATTTTACGATTCACTACCGACGGAAAGTGAAGTCCGCATGAGGTTTCCGTCCGTGCGTTTGATTCCGCCTGTGCTCCAGCAGGGAAATACATACGTGCGGCATCCGAGAAAGGGAGGCGACGTCAATGGCATATTCACACAGACTTCATCGATCGAGTACATGCCTCCAGCCATGAAGCCCTTCCTTCTTAAACCTTGTTGACCATCCTGTGACTTGTCCTGGCGGAGGACAAGCATCGTCTACACAAATCCCCGAGATGCCGGTGAGAGGGCACGCCGCGATAGGCTCTGCTGGCGCGATGGGGTTGCAACCATCCCTCGGAGCTCCGCCCTCGCTGGGGCGGTACGGGTGCATCTTCATCAGGGGGCGGTACAACCTCTGGAGCCCCCCCCAGGGCACCGATGGACGACTGTAACCTTGACTTCGGGCTGAAATAAATCTCATCAGTAGACCGCAAAGACGCTGTGCGTGTTTTCAGAAACGAACCTGGACGCCCGCGCCCCTCGGTCCCGGCCGACTCATTGCTCTTCTTCTCGATGATGCACATAGGCAGTCCGTCTTGCGAGAGCATAATAGCCGTCAGCAGACCTACGGGTCCTCCTCTCACCTTCGTGCAGATGTTACGGTTAGCGAAACGGGATCAAGGTTGACAATTGGGTGACGACACACAAGTGACATCGACGTTATTGTGTTTTATATCTCATCACATATTGTGCTAATAGAAGAGCATCGAGAGATGCGCGTAACTTACAGCAATCCGGTATCGGCACAACAGTCGGACCTACTGCCCGATCCTGCTTCGTGAAGGCGGAAGTAACGTTGAGCACCGTGTCATAACACACCGACCGACGTCAATGGCAGCCCTGGTTCGCCATATGCTCCCCCATATCTCCCGCCTCCGCACTGCGGAATCGAAAGTGATATGTTGCGTGGTCGGTAGAGGTAAAGCCGCAGCCGTGGCATTAAGGACAGATCTGTGCTGCCTGACAAACTTGAAGTGTGTCGGAAGAAGTGGCGGCTGTCAGCTCCTTCCCTCCTTCTCTTTGCCCTTGCCGTCGACATCGACAGCGGCGCGAGGAACTTCGGTGGGTATGGCAAGCGGAGAAGGGTGAGCTGGGGCAAAGTATGGATCAGGATTGCCATCGTGCACGCCCAAGTTGACGACATGCTCCCGCGTGGCTTGCGCTCAGACTGCGAGTCTCGCGCTGGTGGTATGGAAGACGTCTCGATGAGCTTCGACATCTCGGTCTGCTGCTGCATACGCATGCAACCAACGTTCTCGGGGCGACGCGAGCTCCTCCCAACTGCGACGTTGCTCGGCCCTCGGCAAGAGCCTGCTACGTCAGCCAGGCCATCTGCTGGAGATCGTATTCGAGCTCGACGTCGTTCTTCTGCGAGATCGGCGGACTCTTGTCGTTGCCGCTGTTGACGCCGGAGATCATCCTGCGCAATCTGGCGTTTGAAGACTTCGCTGCGGGCACATCTTGATTCTTGAGGATGATCCTCGGTGTGAAAGGCGACCTTGGAGCGTCGGCGGACGCCGAAGGCAGCGGGTTGCTGCGATATCATCACGTGCCCGTGGCGCAGTGCTCGGACTGAAGTCTTGGGTCGTCGTGCGATGCAAAGAATGTATTCTGCGTATATACAATACATCTCCCCGTGGGTTTGGGTGAAAGACAGTTGGCCCCCAGGGGCCGACCGTCCTTGGGCGCGATCCGAGGGTGAGCCCAGAGGCTCACCCACGATTCGCTGGTAGAGATGCGTTGTTGTCAGTGAACTTCGGTAAACACCTACAGGACGCGGGCGGGCGGGTGCTGATGCTGCCTAGTGGGCCACCTCTACTGACGAGGGAGTCCGGAGGGATGAA